CCCAACCCGCAAGTCACTTTCGCCACCGAGTTATGTATTCAGCTGCAGCTGCAACTGTAGCCGTGTATAGTTTCAATAACACTTCTTCATTTGCGCTTTCTTTAAGGAATAAGGTTGTTTATAGCATCCAGTACCTAACCACATATATCTTGTAAATTAAACCTTGAAAATCTGGAATATAATACTGAAAATTTAGACCTCTGCAGTTTGCTAGGTCAAACCGGCCGATTCGTCATCTTGGCTAATCGTTGTAAATCAATGGATTTCAGTTTTGTGATTCTTAGAGTTGATAATGGTCGATTTAAATAAATTATTTTTGCCGTATACAGCTGTGATACCGACCAAAGTAAGAGTAGTAAAGGTCTGTCTGACTGCGACATGTTTCGGAAGGGACTTTTAGGGCTCGTCAGGTACTAAACCTTCGATATTGTTAGGGTGGGCACTGCAATGGCTGGCTTAACATGTTCAAATCTTTCTTTATCAAGGTATCCTAGACTTCCGGCACGTCACTAATGACAATATTAATATTGGGCTTAATATTGTTTGAAGATATATTTTGAAATATTGTGATGAAGTTGTCAATCTACCGAAAATACAAAGTCATTCAACTGCAATCCTTTGTGACATTTTTCTTAATCCAAAATTTGTGTTGACAATTTTACTGATACAACCACCAGTTTTCGCAATCTTTTACCAGCGTCTCATTACAATGCTCATCTCGCTCTACAAATACCTGGTCGTATCTATAACCTGAGAAATAAGAAATATCCATGGATTTCTCTGGTAAAAATTTATCTCTTTGCTTTTGTTGAAAAGAACTACCAGTACAGTCACACTTTCTCGTAACATATTTTAGTACTAAACAGCAGCCATTTACAAAGAATAACGTCGAGGTCCGAACTTACTAGTCAAACGTTTTTGCGAAAGTCGTCAGAGAGATTTAAAACTAGTTTTAACTCAATCGATCGTCAGTGGCGACTAACCTCGAGATCTTTGTTTTCTCTTCCTGGCGACACCCTTAACACTGCTTCACTGTTACCCTACCCTTAACTCGATCGTTTGTCAATGTGAGGAAGACATACATGTGATTTAAAAAATGGTAGCTGCTGCTTCCTACATAACGTTCAGCGTTATGGCAATGGAAGGACTGGTTTGTCCGTTGTGAGTGTCATGTGACCGGAAGAGATGTCCTTTGTATTTCAATGTAGCAGCATTATAAATCGGCTTCAATTCGCGCTATCACAAGGAGGTTTTCACGAACATAGCGCAGCAGATGCACTCAACACACCTCTCGTACACTCCGTAAATGTTGATAGGACGTGTAAACAAAGTAAAGGCTGTTGTTTATCATGGCAAACGTTTTTTTGAGCGCCCCCTAGTTGTCAAAAGGTTTTAAAGACGTTTGTACAATGTATATAAAAACAGAAAAGTATGTTAACACAATCACAAATCAAAATAAAAAAAAAATAAAAAAGTAACAGGCAAAATATGATCAAAGGTAAAATTAACACGAAAAAGTACAAGGAAGAGTAAACATCAATCCAATATGTAATGTCACGTTGTTAAGTGAGAACAGGATATGCAACAACGAAACGAACAGGCCAAATAAGCTGTTTTCATGCTCAAGATTTCATGACGACACAAATATTTTGACGTCATTATCTCATGAATATTAATGAGCTGAGCAAGCCTTTTCCCCACATGCTGAATAATGGGGCTGTTGTACCTGCCCAATTAGATTTTGACATTTCTTTCGATCACTTTGGTTTTTTAGGCCCCTTGCATTACTTCAGGACAATTAGTGGTTGTGATTTTTAACCCTGAAGTGCGAAAATTGTGGTACTTTTCCAATGTTTTTTTAACGTTAAACAATAAATAACTCTAACATGTTTAATGACGTAACGTGATGTTCTTTCGCTAGATAGGCATGTTGATATTCAAGTTTACTAGTGGAATCGTTTTGTCACCTTATATTATCTTATTTAACGTGATTTCACCTAAAATGGAACACTTCTGAAATATTTTATATTATTATTATTATTATTATTATTTTATGCATATTTTTTTTATTTTGCAATAAAAGTGAATAAAGTATTTATGAATCTTTATAACATTTTTAACCGTCAAAGTCTTCTATGTTGCTCCTTGTCTTTTAATTATCTAATTATAGAAAGTAATATAATGGTAAAAATAAATTCCTGGAAATGATGCCATGCAATAACACACATTTTCTATCATGTTTTTAAACAATGAAAAGTATTGTTGAAATTATCATTTTAACAGATGAATGTCTTATATTAATGAGATAGTGAACATAAAATGGAGAATCATATTCAAGATTATGTAACTTTTTTCTATTAATGAACTGAATATAGAAGTTCCGATTTGGGTTCCCTCCCTACCTTGGAAAGCTTTGCTGAAACTGGCATGCCATTTTGTGTTCTATTTATAGACACATACAATGCTGATCATGTAACCGAAGTATGAAATGAAAACTGAAGGAATTTATTTGTGAAATATCAAGAAAAGAGTCAGGATTCATAACACTGTTTTATACTCTCAAAGACCTCCGGACCATGACGTAGGATGTGATTGTACATAAATAGAAAAGGCGTATTGCCGTGTTAAGGGGGTTGTATTGAGTTAGAAAGTCTAAGATCTTGCGAGTCTTTCGTTTCTGAGCCCAGTGACTCTTTTCTCTGGGTGTGGCTCTTACCTTTTCAACTGCATTGGTTAGTAAACTTGAAGGGTATCCTCTCTTAAAGAATTCCTGCTGAAAATGTAAAGAATTGCTACATGCAGGCACGTTTGCCTGAAAGAACGATATATTTGTTTTCTGTCGTATTGAATGACAGGTGTGGTAGTGTTGGAAGCTGTAAACTAATTAAAGCGTTTCTGTACCTGCCCAGAGTGCCGTCATGTTATACGTATATAGTGACGTCTAGAAAATTGACCTGTGTATCGCTGATGAATTTGATTGTTGGGGTTGGCACGAGTTCATGGCGTCGCAGACGGAAGTTAATGTGGCCAAATAAAAGAATATATCATCTGTATATATCCAGCATACTAATGGTATCTTTCTTTGTGTAGATATAAATAGATATCAATTAAATCCATTCAGATGGTTCGCAGTTCGTGCCCATAGCAATTCCTTACTTTCGTAGGTAATGTTTATTTCTTTTATCAAACCTGAAAGTTATTATTTATAAGTTCTATCATCCAAACCATAAACCATGTCCAGGGTCTGGTTTGTCCGTTGTGAGTGTCATGTGACCGGAAGAGATGTCCTTTGTATTTCAATGTAGCAGCATTATAAATCGGCTTCAATTCGCGCTATCACAAGGAGGTTTTCACGAACATAGCGCAGCAGATGCACTCAACACACCTCTCGTACACTCCGTAAATGTTGATAGGACGTGTAAACAAAGTAAAGGCTGTTGTTTATCATGGCAAACGTTTTTTTGAGCGCCCCCTAGTTGTCAAAAGGTTTTAAAGACGTTTGTACAATGTATATAAAAACAGAAAAGTATGTTAACACAATCACAAATCAAAATAAAAAAAAAATAAAAAAGTAACAGGCAAAATATGATCAAAGGTAAAATTAACACGAAAAAGTACAAGGAAGAGTAAACATCAATCCAATATGTAATGTCACGTTGTTAAGTGAGAACAGGATATATAAGCTGTTTTCATGTTTTCATGACGACACAAATATTTTGACGTCATTATCTCATGAATATTAATGAGCTGAGGTTTTCCCCACATGCTGAATAATGGGGCTGTTGTACCTGCCCAATTAGATTTTGACATTTCTTTCGATCACTTTGGATTTTTAGGCCCCTTGCATTACTTCAGGACAATTAGTGGTTGTGATTCCTGCTGAAAATGTAAAGAATTGCTACATGCAGGCACGTTTGCCTGAAAGAACGATATATTTGTTTTCTGTCGTATTGAATGACAGGTGTGGTAGTGTTGGAAGCTGTATATTAAAGCGTTTCTGTACCTGCCCAGAGTGCCGTCATGTTATACGTATATAGACGTCTAAAAATTGACCTGTGTATCGCTGATGAATTTGATTGTTGGGGTTGGCACGAGTTCATGGCGTCGCAGACGGAAGTTAATGTGGCCAAATAAAAGAATATATCATCTGTATATATCCAGCATACTAATGGTATCTTTCTTTGTGTAGATATAAATAGATATCAATTAAATCCATTCAGATGGTTCGCATCATAGCAATTCCTTACTTTCGTAGGTAATGTTTATTTCTTTTATCAAACCTGAAAGTTATTATTTATAAGTTCTATCATCCAAACCATAAACCATGTCCAGGGTTTTTTTTTTCTGTCAGGCGTCTAACAGCAACTTGGCTATCTCTACGGTAAAAAAAATAATATTCAATATTTTAATTAGTTATCACGGGTTTCTTTAGGTCATGTCGTGGTTCTGAATTAGAAACTAGAGGGTGGGAAAAGACAATAGGATCCCACTAGTAACCTGACTATCTAGCGATTGAACATCATGGAACATGTATAATTATTGGTATCCGATAAGATCATGTGAGATTAATTGTTTAACGTCATTAATAAAAAGAAATATTAGAGTAGAAAAAGTATTGGTATAAAAATTCCAATCACAAATTGTCCTGAAGAAACCCAAATATTCGGAGCAAATCGGTAGACACAAAGGAATTAAAATGTCAACCTATCCTTGAACTTGTTGTGAGTGACAATTACCCTTTAGCTCCCCCTATTCTTCAATTGCCCTGCATACCTAGATGTATCCAAGCAAGAGGTAATGGAACCCTTACGAGAAGTATGACGTTGGCTCTATATCCCTATATAGGGTCTTTGTTAAGTAATTGATGAATTTGTTAATTTATTGTTGCTAATAAACATAAAAAAAAATGTTTTGTTCTAAAGTGCTATTAAAAAAACATTAGTAGTAAAAGAACCTTCTCTGTTATTTATTTAATGAATTCATGATTAATTTTCAAAAGCCTATCCCGAGCCGTTCTTTGCACAATAGCACATGTTCTGGTCGCAAAGTCCCTGGGGACAGTTATGCTGGCACCAGAGGTCAAGACCTGGATTACCGGCGACAGAGTAACAATTTTTCCCCGTTCCTAAGAGTCCGTAATCTTGGTCATCCACCAACTGGCCAGCCGGGTTACATTTGCAGTGTGTCATAGGACAGTAGCGACGCTTACAATTGACGTCACACCAGTTGTCCATAGACACTAATCCTTTCCAAGCACCAGCAGATTTGCATACAATCCGAAGAGATGGAGGCGGCATACGAGTTACTCGCGGTGGAGTTGGAGCCTGTGTGGATGGGGTGGTCGTTGTAGTTGTTTGCACGGGTGACATTTTAGTGGTCAGTGGTGTTGGTACATTTGGTGTGATATGCGGATTTTGTGTTGTTTGAATTGGAATTGTGTCGTCTATGCCACTTTCAAGAATTGCAATATCCGCGCATGCATAGAATTCTTCTTGTGGTCCGAACCCTAACCCACAAGGTCCTGTCTTGAAGTCGTTACCGGTACAGCCCCACCTGTTTCCTGAGAAAAGAAAAGAAAATGATATATGCTTGTTCTATATCACAAAAAATCTAGAACTTGTCATGAAGTATCAAATATGATAATTTTCTGCAGCAAATGAGAATTGATAAATTACAGTGAAATTTCAGGTCTATAGATATTAAGTAACACTTGGATTTCGAAGAATGATGTACCCCAATGCAATCCCAATATACCTGTACGTCGTTCATAGAATGTAATCTTTATAGGCAATAATACTTCCTCTAGGATTTGTGCAGAATACGATTCAACATATGCACAAATCGATATACCTGTTCTGTAACGCCACTGAAGAACACATTGTGAGCATGCCACATCATATGGAAGCCGCATTTTTATGTCGTAAAATCCAGCACTCTTGTCATCGACGAAAACTTGGGTGGAGTTTCCGTAGTATTCCTTTAGAAGATAGCGATCTAAACAGGCTTGAGTGGCTGCTCTCTTCACGTTGTTGTTGGGACACAGTCGGAACTCGAAGTAACCTTTATGACTTGCCGTGAGTTCTACATTGATACTGATGGCACCACCTCTTTGGTAATGCCCAGTAATAACGCCGTTCGCAAATCGGCCATACGGTGGTTCGTTGTCGCGTATAGAAGTATCATACCTATCTCCACATATACCACATTTCCCGCCATTGACCCACCACTGGATCTGAAACATGCAGAATTTAAATGATGATAAAGTGTACAGCAGTCGCTGAGGTTGGAATCTATATATTTCCACACACTTGACAGGGTGTTCCTGCAGTTGTTAGGAATGGGACAACTCGATTACATATGGGTAAGGGAGTGAAATTGCACGTGCTATTACATAAATTTCCACTCACGTTCTATATGACATCGATGATGGCGTGGTGCATATGTTTCAGAACAACACAAATTGGTTACTGCTTTCAAGTATACGTGACAAATTATCGAATATTGGACGTTCCACACCAAAGAAATATCGATTAAACGTTCAAAAATTACAATTAGCCCAGATGTGATGGAACAACAATGAGAATTACCTATATGTCAAAATGATCGTTATGCAAACGGTTTCGAAACTCAAAATATTTATAAAATTAAAGATTTACACGGAAACTTCTCAAACAGTAAAATGGTAACAAGACCAGGTATTTCGGGTGTTTCGGAAGCGTCATCGACGACCTCCGCCTTGTAAATCTTTGTCAATTCTAGAGATGTCATGTTCCAAAACGACAACATCCAAGCATACAACATCGAACTTCACATCGCACAAAGGAATAGAATATTGCTCTATGGTCGTTATGACGACTTAGTATCTCAGAACCATGTGTTGTGTATTTATTTATTGCCAACATCTTGCAGAGAATCGTGACATTGGGAATATTCATATGAAATATTGAATCAACTGCGACAAGTAAACACCATAGAAATGTAGTGGATATAACTAAATCCTATGTTTTGGTCTGGTTTGATATTGCTGTTTATCCTATCAACATCGTTTTAGTCATGCGATGACGGTTTTCCGTTTAATGCGTGGATGACTGCAATATGTTCTTGTAAATCTCCTGGTCGAAAAATTATTTTTAAAAAGGATGACGTGTTTGTCCGTCAGCTCACGGCATCTTGCAGACCCGAGAATATCAATTCTACTGCGACATGTAAACACTATAGGATAGAGATGCAGGTATATTGCTATCCAGAAATGGGAAATTCACAATAGGGCAATGAAATCATGTTTATTATACAGCTTGACGGAAAGCTGTTCATGTTGCTTTCGTTGTTGGAAAAGACCAAGTCTGTCGTATTTACACGAGACGAAGTCAATAAATTTCTTGTTATTATTTCATTATTATGTCATCATATCTGAATGTGAAATTAAATGACTTTGCAGTGTCTTTGTGACCTGTTTTCATAAGCTCTTCAATAAATTCAGCCATGTAAAAAAAAAAAAAAATCAGCCAACAAAGGGGCGAAGTGTGAAACTGAAGATCACCGTATATTGCTACCACACTAGTGTTACCACTAAAGGCCCCAGTAGGACATTTCTAATCTACTAAATCCTTAATATTTACGGAGAAAGTTCAGAATCCACTCTGAACGTGGACAATGATAATGCAGTGGTTTTCCAAACAAAAATTCAGCTATGCTACGGTAAAAAGGAAGAAAGATTTAAGAGGAGACAGAGAAATTCAAGACTACATGATCTGGTGGATATTATAGAAAATAAGGAACAGTAGAGACAAGACAAAAATTGCAATGCACTTTATGTCACGAAAAATGACTTTTAATCGTCACAGTCATTCAAATGTTTGCCTGGCATCAATACATTATGGTGTGTCCATTGTTTGATGGATCAAAATATGATAGAAAGACTGATTTAAAGGACGAGCAGTCGACAGACGATTTGAAAAGTTCATCTCTAGTGATGATGGGGTGAAACAAAAGGCTTTCTTCAACCGCTTACTCCAAAAGAACTGTAGGACTTTTGACAAAGCTCTTAAAAAGCCCATTCATTTCCTTCACTTACTGTTTGACCTTTCAGCATGCCAATAATCACACATTTGGACACGGAGTCCTTAATTAACACCAAGACTGAATTGTAGAAGGAAAACATGAATCCCGTAATTAAACCGCCTCTAACAAGGAATAGCTGGAAGTAATCTTTAGTGATTTTGTATATACACTGGTGGTTCCAAGACACAGCCGTATAAAACAGACATTTCCTTATCTGACTATACTTTTTCAATGACAATTTTTTAGTGAAAGGAACTGATTACTTGTGTGTTTTTGTACAACCTTTCGTATACCCAACCGGCAGATGTACCATCACAATACGTTGAAGCTCAGAAAGCTCAATGTTGTAGTAGTTTTAATGTAATCTTATTTATATTGCAGCACGATGTTTAAGGCTGTATATTTCTTTGCAGCCTGGATCAACTATATAAAAGAGATTGAGTTGAGATTCTGTTTTGACAATATTCTATACAAACAAGCTTTACACAATGAAGTGTTTGAGAACCAAAGGATTGAAAGACACATGATTTGATATTAGTAACAAGAATACCTAGCTTTATTTACTTGCATTATTAGTGAAATTTGGCAGCATACGAAAATCTTAAATATTGTTCAGAATTAACTATACCTGTTCTTATGTATATGTATATAGTATACCGTTTAAGTAACCTAAATCATCCAACTAACACGTAATCTTCTACAGTAATACCGGAGGAGGAGGAAGCCGAAGATGAAAGTTCTTAATGTTCACTGGAAAATATTGACAAGGCCAATAAACGTACTCCGACATTATGGGAATGCAGAAAAACGACTTCGCAGCTAAACCACAAACTATTTCAGCTATGCAACACAACTACCTTTAAATACTTACCGGAAAACCACCACAGAAAAGCTGATGGTCATTGTAATTTGGAGGTGTTTTATACCCATATCGCCACATCGTTGACCGTCCGGGAGGTTTAACTAGACGGCCATGTCCGGATACTCTGTCCAGTTTTATTATACATATAATGGTCACACTTAAAATTAGATAATGTAATATCCGTTCCGTCACCTTTGGAAGCCGAATTACACCCATTTTAGAATCAGAAGTTGTTCTAATTAGAAATAATTATTGCAAATGTCTGATTAAGTTGTATTCATAAATCCATACTGCCTTGTGAAAAGTGTCGTTGTGAACACCAACCATTCAATTCAAGCAACACAGTCCAAACGTTTCAACATTCAAATTCTGGTATAAATATTGTAGAAGAAAATCAGAGCATATCCCTACTCTGCTAACTTCCAGTCATAACCATACCGAAATGGTCAACCATTTAACTAACGTTGCATAATGTTAAAACTCAAGTAAAGCGTTTCCAGTGGCGATGACCACTAGAGTACCTGTGAAATCACTGGTTTATCGTGATTTACCTGGAACTGCCCCAAGACATATGTTGTGTTGGGTCGAGGTACATATGGCAAAAATATCAGGGGTTCTCGACGGGTACTTTTAGAATTGTTTTGTATTATTCGTAGACGACGTAAATTTTCAAAACGCAAATATATCGTTTACAAGTTTGGCATTACATATTCAATACATTTAAATTTTCTGAACGTTTTGAACACCAGATACAGTTTTCAGGTTCTTGTAGAGATCTCATTTAAGTGAAAAACAGGAGACCACATTTCACAGAATTTTCACTCCAACTCAACATACCTTATTTGCCTAGTATGATCTTCAAGGTTATGTATGTATGTATGTATGTATGTATGTGTGTGTGTGTGTGTGTGTGTGTGTGTGTGTGTGTGTGTGTGTGTGTGTATGTATGTATATCTTTGCATTAATTTCGATTTTTTGCCTATGTTACAAGGGGTTATAAAAATTATTCTTTGAAATTTTTTCTCATCTGTGGGAATGTCTGAATTCTATTATAATCATACGACCACCCGCCAAGTATAAATCACGTTTTCAAATGATAACTAATTTAACATCAACAGGTTTGTGTTTTGTTAAGCGTCCTACCAACAGCTCATGTCATATAAACTCAGAGAAACGTATGTATGCCAGTTTAAAATGTTTTGAAAATGAGTGGGTTTTTCGATTATTTACTGGTATGAGCAGAAATGTTTTAAGGCCATTCACCGTTAAACATTTTTATTGGATTGCATTGATCTTTTGTCTACTCTAGAAATTTTTATCGTAACATTACAAGTCCAAAGACCCTTTTAGAAACGGTTCAGATTAAAAAAATTCTAGGACATGTGTTGGTCTATATTACTGGATATGACTTGCTATTTTGATCTTTTGCGATAATACAACCATGTAAATGTTTTAGTATTTGTCTTGTACCTTTCACTTTGTTTGATGTTATTTCCTTTTGGGTCGATGTTTGTTTCACCGGTTGATGACCCTAATAGCCTTCTATGCGTTGACGGGCCGCTAAGAATGTAATAATAATAATTTTATCAAAACTTGTTTATAGTATACATAACGTTTTTCAGCTTCACTGTATTCTTTAACTTATATGTTACGTTGATATGTTGTTATACACTGGTGAACGTCCTATTGGTAGCTACTGGTATCTAAGAACGGTCTCCAGATGTGCATGATGAAGTAAGTTCTGGAAGAGTAGGGGTCGTTTGTTTCGTAGACAATACCCACCACGTAAATCTAGGTCAATCCAAGAGTGTAATGTCAAGTTCCTTAATGACAACAAGTTAAACAACAACAGAACCTACCAAATATATGAACGAGCATCAAACACGTCCAACGTCATATCACACAATGAAATCATTATGACAAACGTAAAATTAAAGATGAGATTCTAAGAACCCAGCAATGGGGTGTTAAATTTTCACACCTTACCTGCATGAGGATACACATATAGACGTGTTCAATGGCATTTCTTGAATTCAAGCTGACAAGGCCTGAATGGTTGAGGATTGTACATGTCCAGATGCTCGAGGTCTTTGCTCATGACATCTACTGGACCGTCTATATCTTGACCCTCGAGGAAATTCATCCATTTACAATTTTACAAACTCGACACGTATTCCACACTCAATCTGTTAATGCCGAAGTGTATTAGATCCTCTGCAGGATAGGGGAAAACAGCTGACACAGATTATCAATATATAAAACATATTTTGGTCTTCCGGGCTTGTGAAAACTTGTTAGGATTTACATGCTTTTAACAGCTGAATTCTAGGAAGATAGGGCCTGTTATCAAGTGTCATCAGCGTGAAAGTAAACAACATCGACATCCTATTCATTGGATTTTGTTCATATTCATTTGGTCAATATTCTTCTAATCGAGGTGAGCGTGGTTTTTCGCGTGGTTCTTGTAAACCTTGTGCAAGCACGGAACTGATGCCGACGCTATAGTGCTATCACATTGAAATATACTGCCGCATGCATCCAGCAGATCACCACACCCGATTACATTATACTGACAAACCAGTCGTTGCGCTTCCAAAGCCAAAGACCAAAAGTGAGTCAGTGTCCATGGTGATATGGCCTTTTTTGAGAAAGAAGAAAAATGTATCACAAAATCAGGTTCTACATGTACAAAAATAACATTTCAGATACCAACATACATATTGTAAACTTGCATTATTTCAGCTTAAAACCTATGATTTAGCAGTTCTGTACAAATACAAATACATGTATATGTAGATCAAAGAACTCTCCATCCCCTACTGCCCGACCCCGTAATAGTTTGATAAGTACAAAAAGAAAAGTCCATGAAGTCCTGAGATGTATTACTGACATCACGAGGAAAAATATCTGAGACCATATCTTGGTAAGTGGATCATTACAACAATGCTTCAGGGTCTTTAGAGGCAGTCATTTCATTGTTTAAATTCAAACTAGTAACAACCGAATGGATTTACCTTACATGGAAAAAAGTCTCCAAATTGCCGAAATGGGATAAGGACAAGAAAAGAATTACTTACTGGACCAATGTTGAAGTTTAATAACAACCCCTTGTGTAACACTGAATAGCAGAAATGGATTCTTTTTCAAGACAAACTAGTGTTAAGTACAGATTAGCAAAAAATTAATAGAAACCATCACAAAGAAAAAATGTCACAATAGACATTGCTAAACAGCATTCAAATGTCAAAAGAGAAAGACAATATCAACATGTCAATTAAGTTCAATAAAACAATGGCAAAATATGAACAAAACGAAGATTTACATGGAATCTTCTAAAATTTGTACGAGGAGAATAAAACCAGATGTTCTGGAAGAGTAAGCGTCTCCTGTTTCATCGCCGACACCCGCCATGTAAATCTTGATCAATCCAAGTAATTTCAGGTTCTCAAATGAGAAGAAGGTATAAAACAACGGAACCAACGGGCATTAAACACGTCCAGTTTAATATCGCACAAAGGAATAAGCTATTTATCAATTGGATCACTTGATGATCGTAAAACTTCTCCGTAATTTTCATTTACCTGCATTGCATTGCATTTTGCATCGAATATATTGGCGTTTGCTGCATTTGTAAGACAGAATCTCGAGTTAATCAATATCAACGATGACTTTGCAGGAATATGATTAGTGTATTCACAAACATTGTGAATGAAAGATTTTATTTTCTCACAATAGAATTTAATGAATGTTCAAAGTTGGTCTGTGAGGCTGATTGAAAGCTGTTTTAAGTCTAAATTGAACAATGATTCAATAGATTTCAGTTTAATCATCTAAGATTGTAACACCTCCAGCATCTGCAATACACACCTTGACTTATTTTCTTATCAAAGTATGCTATCTTTGTTAAGAATGTTGTGAAGTAGGGTTGATATAAATCTTACCTGGTCACAATTTACCCGAAGCTTTTAAAACGCCATGGTAATTGCCAGAAATATGAATATAGTTTATGCACTTCATACGATTGTTAAATCTTTTGGCACTGACTTTTATCAAAATATAGGCTTTTTGATAAAGGGAAATTAGGATTTAACTTTTATTTAGTCTAATTTTATATAGGTTTCTACTTTATTGATAATATTGGCTGAATTAACAGCGTTGTCTATTACGAGATAAAGGGTAGTGTCATCAGCAAACGATTTCATAAAACTGCTTATCTCTAAAATTATATCATTATTATATGTATCAAATCAATAAAGGTCCTAATATGGAGCTCGAGGAGCATCGCGGTAATTATCAGAAAGATAGTTTTTGAAGTGTTCCGATTTTTTCCGAGCAAATTGGTTCACTGGCAGCACACAAAATTAACATCCGAGGGTGCAAAATCTGGTTTGTTTTGCCATCTAATCGTACTGCTTTTCCTGTCCTTCTCTCGTTCAGAAATGAAACTTTGATTTCGTCATCAGAATCATATTCCTCAACCTTCCCAACTTACCATTTAGAGTCGTTAATTGCTACAATACATGGCATATCGGGATATATTAATGTAGCTTAGGTATTTGTTGGGGTATTTTTGGTGTCAGTGTTCATTGTAGTTATGACGTTGTTTTCGGTCGTCAACGTGATTGAACGAGACATTGGTACATTCTCTTGTTACTTCTAGGTTAGACTATGGCAACGCGTTACTCGTTGGTGTATCTGATACACTAATGAGCCGCCTGCAGAGGGTACAGAACACCGCAGCACGCCTAGTTAACCGTACTCGAAAGTCGTCCAGTCCTTTACTTATTGCATTGTGGTTCCGTGTACAAGATTTTGATGTATACATACAAGGCAATAAATGGAACAGCTCCTGAATATTTGCAGGAACTTGTTTTATCGCTCACGATCACTACGATGGTGACAGAATCCTTGTTGTGCGTAACTCTCGGACTGTGACTCGGTGCTTTGGAAAGGTAGCGGCCACTTTGTGGTGTTGCTCAAAAGTCAAAATCCCTGAAATTCAAGAGGGATATTGTTGTCATTTTAGACTCTCTCCTGTATATACATACTTTCACCACTACTTACTTGATTTGGTTACTGTGTTACATATGTTGATTACTGTGTTATACATGTTCTGTAAATTTTGTAGTAAGATTATTATGTAATTGTGAAGCGCATTAGAGTATTTTGTCAAAATAGAGAGTGCGCTATATAAATGTTGTATATTATTATTATTATTATTGTGGTGTGACTGTCAGTGTTCGTTGTTGTTGTATCGATGGTGACGCTGCTAGTTGTCGCAGTAACGTTGTTGTCAACATTGATATTTGTTGTCACTTCTTCATTTAGAGGCCTATGATCTGTCCATCCATTTCAGCTAGGTTCCATCACGCCATTATATTAGCAATTCTCACAAAACAATATCTTGACCTCGCAGCAATCTTGGGACCTCGGAAATGGATTACTGCATGGATATTCATTGTTCCTTATGCACGTCCTTGCATTTGGAATCGAGTATGTAAAAATATTTCAGAGAACCTGTCTGCTGTAAACCTAAAGAATAAATATCCCATGTTGTTTAAATCACGACATTTTGGTGTGACGTTTTACAGTGACATCTGCTAGTCTCATTGCAGCCCTCTTCCCCAACCTGTTACAGGAGCCCTGGCCATGACCAGCTTCAAAGTATTGTCATGATGATTGAGGCCCGTCGAAAATTATTCCGTAATTGGCCATCAAATTAATAATATATTGAGAAGTTGGCGACTCAGTGATGTAATTAATATAATTTACATTAGGAACAATGTATTTAACTTCCGGTACAACTATTTTTATGATAGCATAGAATGTGGCAATATTGTGCGAATTTGTGTCGCACACATAAACGCAAGATGTATGTTGAAAAATATTGTCTTTGTCATCATAGTATACCTGATGTAGAGCGACAATAGTCAAATTAGGCAGATTGGACCTCGTCGGCAAGACCAAAGTCGTAGTTTTCAGCTAAATCACTTTGACAGATGGCCTGTTCTTAAGGTTGCAAATTTCTTCATATTGCTGCTTCATTCAATTCCTTCCCCATTATCTCAACAGATGCCTCTTTTTCTGTTCCACGTGATTTACATGGGTTTGGATGCGTGTCCTTTGTATTCAACATCAAACACTTCCTCATCCAGCGTACGTCATCTTCTGTTTTGTTCAAAAGTTGAATGTCAACACATAATTATATTGTTGGTTTCTTTATTCATGCAAACCGTGCGTATATAACTTGGGTTTAATTTGTCAGTTAATTGTTGCGGTTACAATTGGATTGTTGTAAGTGTCTATGGTGTTTGAATCAAGAAAACACCCTGGTAATTATGACTCCGGACGTATTAATCCGCTTACAATCAAAACTATGGTTACGTAATTCATGTTCTAGTGTTATGATGACTGCACCGGGTGTCACATCTTCAGATACGATAACATACCTGTCATGTGAATCGAGATGAGTGGATTAAGCTACAGATTTAATGAATATAGACCCGTGCTTTATTTTCTTGTAAAACCTTAGTTTTGAAATTTGCTCGTTGTCAGTATAATGTTACCTGATTGGTGTGTCCTGTCGAGTGCCTTCGGTTGTATACTTCAACAGGACATCGCTATGATATCGGATTCAGTACCTCACTATCGCCAAAAAAGCTTGTGTGACCAGATCGCAGCCTCCCGCAAGCACACACTCAATACAATCACTCACTTCGTATATGTAGGAAGGTCGTCCTTGGATGAAAATAGCTGTTGATGGGACGTTAAACAATGAATAAAGCCAACCAACTTTCAGCTTTTGATTAGTTTGTTTTGGTTTGTTTTGTTTTGTTTTTTGTTTGTTTTTGTTTTATATTATTTTACGAAAACGAAATCATGAAAACAAATAATGTAAGTGTTTGTAGAGACCTCCAGGAAATGTATCTTTGTTCCGAATGAAAAATTGTATTCACTTGTGTGTCTCTTATACAATCTTCGGAATTACTTGTTCATGTTGAACGATATTTTTTGTGGTATATTTTTTGAAAGGTTTTAATTTTGTCAAAATCTGTGAGCACGTGAAGAATGTGTATTTGTATCTTGTTTTCTACACATAATACCCATTGTCTGGATTGTCTGGGTCTAATTTTACCGAAGC